GGGGGTTCGTTCTATTCATCTGTTCTTGTAGTGGTTGAAGTCGATACTGATACAGTTAAAAAATGGAAATCGCTGAACACATTCAGTACAATCGTCTGATTGCAGGTATCTCGGAAACGGCCAAGATCTTCGCTGGTGTCGATGTGACAAAAGAACCGATTCCGGTTATTCCGACAGTCCACTACAACATGGGTGGTGTACCAACCAATTATAAAGGACAAGTGTTGAAGTATACCAAAGCGAAGGGTGATCAGGTCCGTGCCACATCTCGTTGATTGTTTTCGATTGGTCGAAAAACTGTGGAACTTGTTAGATTGATGTTGGTTGCTTGAAACTGTTAGACTATTAGAGAATGTCAGAAGACTTGAATTGATTCTCAGTTTTGAGTTTTGCACGTAAGTGAGCACTTTGATTTCGGAATGCTTCAATTTTGTTTTGTCTGTGATGCAGTCTAGCATGATACGGTGGTTTATTGTAATTGTTACAGGTGGTACCAGGCTTGTACGCAGCCGGAGAGGCGGCCGCGCACTCTGTACATGGTGCAAATAGACTTGGTGCGAACTCGTTACTTGACTTAGTAATCTTCGGACGCGCTTGTGCGATCAACATCCTGAAGAACACGAAACCCGGAGAGAAGGCACCGGATCTCCCGTCGAGCGCCGGTGAAGGTTCTATCGCTAATCTGGACAAGATGAGATATGCGAACGGCGATATTCCCACTGCCGATTTGAGGTTACAAATGCAGAAAACTATGCAAAAACATGCGGCTGTCTTCAGACGTGGTGATATTCTTTCGGTAAGTTATGATCTTCATAGTGCTTTCATTATCGCTTAACGGTTTTCTATTTACAGAACTTATTCGATTATAAGATGATAGTCTTGTTTCCTTTATGTATTTCACTAAGGAGTTGAACATTGGCAAACAAAAATTTCTCTAACTATTTGAAATTGTTAACGTTTGGAAGATTGTTCATGTGCTGTAAATATTGATTTTATGATTTTTATTACTGTTGATGATAATACAGTTTTGACGATTGCGTGGTGTTTTAGGAGGGTGTTAAGAAGATGAATGCACTTTACAAGGATCTGAAGCACTTGAAGACGACGGATCGCGGAATGGTATGGAACTCGGATTTGGTGGAAACATTGGAGTTGCAGAATCTGATGTTGAACGCGACGCAAACGATTACCGCTGCTGAGAATAGAAAAGAGTCGAGAGGTGCGCACGCTCGTGACGATTTCCCGGTGAGTTTTGAATTCATTTTGTTGATGGGTGATTGGATTAGTTTTGGAGAGATGTTGGACGATGAAATGTAGTTTTTTTGATTGGTGATAGGTGGGAGAGAGATGGAGTGCGAGTTGACAGTGGAATGAGTGAGTGGTTGGTTTTTTTCAGAACCGTATTGATGAATACGACTATTCGAAGCCTTTGGAAGGACAAGTTAAGAAGCCATTCGAACAACATTGGCGTAAGCATACGATCATCTATCAGGAACCTGAGACGGGAAAGGTGTGTTTGCCAATTGCAAGGATGTTCTTTTGATAGTTATTTGTTGAGTCGTAGGGAATTGCGTTTGATGCCTTTGGAATGTTTCGATTTGCGCATCGATTGTGAATGACTGGAATAGATCCGTTGTTCGCTAGAAGGACTGACTGTGTACATATGAGCATTCTGGATGAACCGTTTCTGGAGAATACTAGCGTTATTTTCAGATTACACTCGAATATCGACCAGTAATCGACACGACACTGGACAAAAACGAGACTGATTGGGTGCCACCGAAAGTTCGCTCGTATTAAACGAGTCATCTCTCGGCTATATTTTGACATGCTGTCTGTCAACCATTCATTTTAGTGTATTACAGTTGAGAATAATTCGGTCTCTAACCGCCAGCGACACACACCTTTTATCAATTTGGTTTACTCCATTCTCGTTCTGTCTGTCTCATCCCTATCTATCAAGCCAATCTTCATAATTATTTGCATCCCTCAGAAGCATTGTACATGGTTGATGTAACTTGGATGTTTATACCGGTATTGTAAATGTGACTGAGTGCTTATTATTGTTGTTGTACTTACAGCCAAATTTAGTTTTTGCGATATTTCTGCCAAGTGCGATGTTTCTCATTGTGATTGTCGTGTGCAGTCATTTTCCGGTGGGTCTATTAATTTAGAGATGCACTGTTTGTTGAGCGGTTTCTTCGTTGAATGTGCATCGTAGCAGTGATCATTAATCTGAGTTGTTAGGCTTACTCATTTTTAACTTGTGTTATTTTACGGGAATGATTATGTGTTGTTAGTTTTCGATGTTTGATTTATTTTATGGGAAATATT